AGACTCTTACTTGTTGATGAGTTGTTTCCATCTCCAATCTTGAATTGAGAAATCAATGGTTCTTGATTATTATCAGATAACAAAACACTGCTTGTGCTAAGATCAAATGTAATCTCAGGCCATTGATCTGATAAATAACAAATACCTTCAACAACTCCTTTAATCACTTTTAATCTTCTTCTCCATGAAGAAGCCGATGGCGAATTTAGCCAAGCCTCAACATTTTCTCCCTGAACCCATTCTGTAACCAAAGCTCTCAAGTTTCTGCTATTACACCAACCCAAAACCCTAACCAAATTCTTGTGCCTCAGCTTAAAAACCGCCTCGCATTCCTCTGCGAATTCGCGCCTTTTCTCATTCGAAACCTTCTCTTTATAAACCTCGATCTTCGTCTCTGTCCCGTCTCTTAACGTTCCTTTGTAGATATCCACTGAATTGCTACTGGTCACGAGTTTCCGATCTGAAAACTCATCGGTCGCTGCATCGATCATCGCGGATGTGAACTTGTAGCTTCTCCGGCAAGTTCTTGGTAAGTAATCAGGTCTTTTGATACATAACCAACCAAAGCAAAAACAGAGCAAAATCACCATTATAGGAAACACAATCAACAAGACCAAAACTTTCATCTTGTAACGCTTGACATTCGGAAGAACACCAGATTGTATGAAACTCGAGGCGTTAAACCTTTCGAAGAACTCGGAATCCGAGATCTTATTTTCCGAAAATCGGTTATACGAAAGATTCAAATGTGTCAAGTTGGTTAATCCGGAGAGATCTTGAACCGGAACAAAACCAGAGAACTGATTGTAACTCAGATCAAGAGTACGAATCTGAGCACAAGACAGAACATTTGTCGGAAACCCGTTCTTGAGAGAGTTATTCACAAGCTCGATTTCAACGACGGTTAAAGGACAATACTTCCAGAAGAAATCGAAAGAGAGGTAAAGAGCAGCGGTTTTAGGACGGCTATGGATTCTGATTTTGGGGAAAGACTCGACGCAGTTAGGGTTTTTGGATTCGTTACAGAGATGGCTAGCGACTATTGTGGATCTGAAAATCTCGACGAGGTCGATCGGAGAAGAGGAAGTGTTGTTGCAGTAAGGAAGTAATGGATCACGAAGACAGTTTGTGGTAATGGTGTTGTTGAAATCAGGAGGTGGATTGAGATTGGCGAGATCTTCAACTACTGTTGCTGAGTGAACT